TATTTTGAAGAAGCATGCTGTGAGCCTGGGATGTAGGAGCCAGCCACTTGTTCGGTGAGGAAGCCTACTAAAGTGAGGGCCCATGTCTCAGTGAGGTTTTGTTATTGTAAGCAATAGGCAAAGCCGTAATGCTCTTGAAGGACTGTAGTACTAGTGTGAAAGGTGGGGATTCTTGTGGATCATGAAGCCCTCAAGAGCATCCCCCTCCAATGTGAGGGGTTCACTGTAACATGGGTGTAAACTGATCATGTACCCACATCCTCCCCACAGCCATCACTACTACATCCTTAATGATGTGGTTACCCACACTATGGTGGTGTTACCGAGAAGGGTACTGGAATTCCTCTTATACTGAACGTATCTCTACCACAGCACTTCTCCCCTGTTCTGACTGTATATCTTATACGCCCCTCTACTAAAGGATAAGATCTTTGAAAGCTGAAATGCCAGCTTGTCTTGTCCATTTATTTATCCCTAGCACCTAGTATTGTCCCAAAGACACAGCAGGTATTTAATAAATGTTTGTTGAATAAGCAACCACCTTTTATGAACAGGCACTATGCTCCAGGTACATTTTCTTCATATTTGTATTTAGTACTAATCACTACAGGAGTTCTGGTGGTGTAGTGGTTAAAGCACTCAGCTGCTAAGAAAAATGTCAGTGGTTCAAACCCAAAAGCCACTCCATGGGAGACAGATGAGGCAGTCTGCCTTGGTAAAGATTTACCACCTTGCAAATCCTTTGGGGGCAGTTCTACTCTATTCATAGGGTCACTATGAGTCAGAATCAACTCAATGGCAGTGGTATTATTTTTTGTGGGGTTTTTTGTTTTGTTTTGGTTTGGTTTGGTTTTGGTTTTGGTTTCCTTCTTCTTACTTATCACTATAGATATTATTAATTTTCACGATTCCAACAAAAAATCTGGGACTCAAACAAATGAAGTGACTTGTCCTAAGGTACACACACAGTGAGAGGTAGATTCACATCCATTTGTCAGATGTTTGCTTTTCTATCCTGCCATGCTGCCATGGGCTTCTCTGCATAAGAGTCAACAAGTGCCTTCATTGGCCTCACATTATCAATATGGTGTTGCCTCAATTTCAACCTGATTAGTCTGGTAGCATAGTGGCTAAGACACTTGCCTGCTAACCAGACGGCTGGCGGTTCAAACCCACCAGCCACTCCTCATAAAGAAGGTTGGGCAATCCTACTTCCGTAGTGATACTGCCTCGGAAACCCAAGGAGGGGTCGCTATGAGTCGGGGCCGACTCGACGGCACATAACAACAACAACAACAAGTCTAGAGGAGCATGGTGAGGGCAAAATTGACAATGCTACAGGCTTGGTAGGGAAATAAAACTGCTCAAAGATGAGAGTATTAGAAAGTGGAATTGCTCAGGCACCACACAGCTTCTTTCTAAGTACTCAGAAGATTTCAATTCCAGTTTCCAAATTGGTATTGCAATAATAGGGTTTTAGGGAAGGGGTTCTTTCAAGACTATATGGTTTCAGAAGCTGGGTTCTAGCTAAGTTGAGGTTGGAAGTTGGAAATGGAAAGCAAGCATTCATGACTGAATTAAACAAGTCACTTGAAAAGCCATTTTTCTTTCTGGGTCTCAAGGTTTGGTCAAGAGCTTTTAGTCTTTCTACTCCAAATCCAGACCAGCAGCATCAGAAGCGTGTTAGAAATGCCCTAGGCTGGACCTTCCGAATCAGAATCTGCATTTTAGCAGGACCCCTGGATGATTCATATGCACATTAAAGTTTGAGAAGCACTGCTCTAGAAGATAGTCTAAGGTCCTTCTGGTTCTAGTATTTTATGTTTAGGTTAGGACCCTTCATGTAAGCTGGATAAAAAAAGAGCACGCTCATTAATTAGGGTCAAAGAGAGAGCTCTCTTTTCAGTGTAAATGACCTGATCACTTCAATGATATCTTTGGAAGAATATTGTTAATTCATCAATATTTCTATTAAGGGCCATCATTTACTGAGCACATGCCATGTATCAGGTACACTGCACACAATGTTTTCATATCGTCATAACGGCCACGCATGACAGATATTATTATCTCTATTTTACTGTTGAGAAAATGATCTCATAGGCTAAGAAATTTTCTCAAAGTCACATGGTTAGGTCAGCGGCAGAGCTAGCATTTTAACGCAGTGTATTTAGAGCCCATGGTTTCTCTGCTATGTGATTCTGCCTCTAGGTGTAACGCTATGATTTAAAGTATCAAGGGCAGAACTGCTACGCCAGATTGGATGAACACTCATTAGACTCATTATTCTGCAATGATGATGACAATAAAAGTAGATCTATATTGAAGTCTAAACAAATAGTATAAAGGAACAGATGGAAACTGAGACTTGTTCTTCAAGGTCCTAGAACATCTTAGAATCTCACCCTTCTGGGGACTGACATCCACTATCACCCAGATATGAGCATTCGTGAAGCTCATTTACATCAAGATATTATTCAAGCTGAAAACAGAAATGGGTTTGAGAAAGGGTTAGTCATATTCAAAAACTATAGGTGCACAATCAATTATTAATAGGATGAGAAACTTGGGAGCCAAGCCTCCGATTTCTGAAAAACCACCCTTCCCTATCACTAGTAGATAGAATACTGGATTGGAGGAACCATAAGTCTGTCCAATTATGGCTAATGTTGTAGTTCTGAAACCATTTAAGGACTGACAGTAACCTCTTATATACTGACATTGCCATAAACATGTGTGAAATTTCCCGGAACCTGTCTTCCCAGCCAGGGCCTGTCTTTCATTTGCATGTATAAGCGCTCTCCCCAGAGCACATGTAAATGGACAGTATTCTCTGGAAGGCACCGTTTTTTCCTTATGCTAACAAATTATTATCCTTCCCAGCAAAATGACTAAACAGAGTTCTAATAAATCAATTTGTCAATGGCTATTTCACTTTCAGGAGATAATATTCCTTATTCTGTTTTTGGCTAGTGCAATTATGACCTACACTGAGCTTCTGCATGTATGGTTCAGAAAATTCTCTGAGCTGGAAGGAACTGTGAAAGCTCTGATCTGTCTCCAGGCAAGGAAAGTATTGTTAGTCCCACCCTGCAGATGAGACAGTTTAGCCCCAGAGGCACTAAATGCCTTGCCATAGTCATATTATTAGGAAAGGATTACATGGGGAGAAGAGCAGAGGATCCTGGGTCACTTATTTCTGCTGCCAACAGAGCCCAGCCTTCTTTGGGTTTCGTTTGCATGGTGGTAAAAAGCACTTCTGTGACACATCTCCCTAGATTCTGTGGCCCCTTTCTTCATGAGTTCCTTCTCTCACACTCCTAGGAATGGTACATTTTCATTTCTCATGGAAAAGCGTCATTAGCAGATTCCTAGAACAGTGTGACATCTCTCCTTTCTATATTATAAAAACAAAACAAAATCTGTTGCCATTGAGTCAATTCCAACTCATAGCAACCCCATGTGTTACAAAGTAGAACTGCCCCACCATAAGGTTTTTTTCGTCTGTGATCTTTACAGAAGCAGTCCTCCAGGTTCTTCTGAGGGGCGGCTGGGTGGGTTCTAATTGCCAACCTTTAGGTTAGTGGTAAAACTCAAACTGTTTGCACCATCCAGACACCTTAGCTATATTATATGCTCCCCTTCATTCCTCACGAAGGAACTCTGGTAGTACTGTGGCTAAGGCATTGGGCTGCTAACCAAAAGGTCAGTGGTCCAAACCCACCAGCTGTTCTGTGGGAGAAAGATGAAGCAATCTGTTTCTATAAAGATTTACAGCCTTTGAAACCCTGTGGGGCAATTCTACTCTGTCCTATAGAGTCGCTATGAGTTAGAATCGACTCAATGGCAGCAGGTTGGTTTTTCCTTATTTCTTCACACCTTCTCCTGCAACTGCTTATTGCTTGTGGACATGAGCAAACAACTCAGAGAGGCAAGGCTCCTTTTTCTTATCTCCATCCTTCTTGGCCACCCTGGTAGAGTCTGCCCTGTAATTTGCCTGATAAGCTGCAAATCCCAGAGAAGATTACTCTGCTTTTTTTCTCCACAGCTATCCATCTGGGAAAAGGACAGAGCACCCAATTAACAAGGAAATTCAATGGGGAGAGGCCTTACAGTGATAGCAATAGAAGTACAATATTCCCAGTTTCTAAGGGATAAATGGGGCAGTGACTTGAGTGTAAGTATTTTAGGAGAACCCTGGATTGTGAAAAGAGATGACCATGCAGAGGACACATGTTATCCCACAATTCCTAAGAGCTTCTCCTTCACTGCCTAGCCAGATCTTGGAATTTGTAACTGTGACTAAACACAAGTAGCCACTGCTTTGGGAGCTCTACTTCTTCCAGGTAACCTCCAGGACCGAAGTCATACTGACTCATCTCACCTAGGCTGGGCAAGTTGCATAAAATAGCCTGTAGACACTTAAAGAGTCTGCCAAGTGCCAATCAATTTTGCAATTTCCAAATGGAAGGAGAGGTGCTTGAAACCTGGTTATACAATACAACTGCAGTATGGTAGCAGGGGGAAAAAAAAGCCAATCCTCTTGAGGATGTCCTGGTTGGACTATGACTGTCCCAGAATGGTAAGGTTTGACTTGAAAACACATGTAAGCCCTTGACATGAGAAGAAAAGGAAGGAGAGCCCCAAGCAGTCTCTTATTTTGTGCTTAGTCACAAGTATTATCCAAAATGTGATATCACACAGCTTCTGTCACCCCCAGCCCACCTCCACCAGCCATCATTTTGGGTTTCAGTAAATACAATGTTCTGTGTCCTTAGATCCTGCTACAGAGTTCCTTGCCCAGAACCAATTTAAAATAAGGAAAGTTTTGGAAACAGAACCTTCCCAGTAGTGTCTGCTGATCCTGCATACCTGTGATGGAACCAAAGGTTGACATTAACATAAACACATGGAAGAGTTTTAAAGAGTGGTACAGAAGGACAGAAGGAGATGGCAAGGCAGGTGAAGGAGGAAGGTTAGAATAAAGAAAGGTTACTTACACAGTTTCATCATTCTTGAATTCCAACTCCCCATATGTGTCTTCAAAGTCCTCACCACCACCCTTGGCTGTCCCTTCTACTGTCCTAAAAGGGACGATGACTGTGCCCCGGGCACCTGATGTCCGCAGAACCTTGACCTCCATGACACCAATACTTTCACTGACATGAATAGTATCACATTCAAAAGTGAAGATGCCTGCGTGATCATCATCCAAGATGGTGACTGTAGCTACACAAGGGGATGCTAGGACAGCCCGAGGCAAGGGAAAACTGTTTAGTACTGCTGGAGGCATGCCCTCCTCTGGCTGCTCTTCCTCTATGCGGACATTACTCAACCTCACAAAGAAGTGTTCATCCTCCTCAAAAATGTCGTCATCAATGATGCCCACAGAGAACTCCTTCTGGGTTTCTCCTGGCTTCAGAACAACAGTGCCCTCTGTGAACTCATAGTCAGCCCCTGCATTTGCAGAACCATCCTCTGTTTTGTAGTCCACATACATGGTCTTGGACGTGTCCCCGCCTTTCCTCACCACTGTCAGGAGTACAGCCCCACAGTTCTCCAGGCACTGGTAAGAACACGGATCAAAGAAGACCTTGGAGACAAAGTCCTCAGGCTCGTCGGTATGCACCTCACTCATGCTGGAGGTCTTCTTGGCTTGTTCTGCTGCATGTTTCTTTAAGATATTACCTGCACCAGTCATCATACGAGTGGCTTGAATCCGGTAGAAGGCCCGGCTCTTCTGTTGGTGGGAAAGGGCATAGTAATTGGCCATCTCCACCAGCTGATCTAAGTCCTTCTCCGGGTGTTTTTGCTTCAGATCCTTGAGAATCCGGATCATCTCCCTGCGGGACTCATCAACTTCCTTCCCTTCCAGGGGCACCAGGTTTCCATCTAGAAAGTGGGAATTCATCATTTTCCCATCCATCTCAATTCCCTTGGGGTGGTCGCCCTCTGTCTCTATGATAATTCCTCGGTGTTTATCTGTGCGGTACTTTTTATGCATGTATTTATAGAAGAGCAGTCGCCTATCTGCCACCCAGGCCAGAAGGACACACACTGGAAAGAAGAAGAGAGTGAGGAGGCCTTCCCAAACCTGGACCACACCAGGAGAGAAGACTGCCAGGATCATATAGAGCCAGATGTAGGCAAAGATGCTCCAAGCAGCAGTGACGAAGAAGACTCGTAGGTGCTTGATCTTTCGAGTCTCTCCATCGGGGATCACGTACACACAGATGCCAATGATTATGAACATGTTGAAGGCTGCACTGCCTACGATGGTGGAAGGTCCCAGATCACCAGCAATGAACCCATGACCACACACCTCAATTAAAGAGAGGAGGATCTCAGGAGCAGAGGAACCTAGTGCCATAAGGGTCAGATTGGACACAGTTTCATTCCAGACCCGAATCGTGGTTGTACTGGTCTCTCCATTGGGCTTTTTGATAGTCACCTCCCTTTCTTGAGAGGTAATGACTTCAATAGATGCCATGAAGCGATCAGCAATGATAGACACCCCAAGGAACATGTATATCAGGGCCACAAAATAGACAATGACCCTGGCAATCTTGTCCCCAAGGGAAGGGTTCTCCGGATACCAGATTGGTAAGATGACACCCTCCTTGCAGTCTGATGACCCTGAACAGGACTCATTGTTCTGCCCTGTGCTGGGCACATTCCCTGAGCCACCAGCCTCTGCCCGAAGACCATTCAGGAAAAGCACAAAAGTAACCAGGCCAAAATGGAGGAAGGCAGAGGTGAGAGGCTGCAACCGTAACCACGCCATACACAAGACTTAGCCGCTGGCTTCCACTGCAGCACCAATGGTCCTCCTGACGGGCCAGAGACCTAGAAAAGACCAGAGAGGCAGTAAAAGGCATGAGGTAGGGGGACAGAAAATGGCAGGTTCCCACCAATATACCGATGCTTCACCTTGAGTGACATATTGCACTAACGTGTGGGGCAGTCTCTCACTTGGAAAAGTAGATGTCAATGGGAGGCACAAATAGCTGCTTTGTCCTCAGGACCATCTGGTAGAGACTGAGATGAAGAATGGATTAAAATATCTAGGAATATTGATGATGGAAACATAAGCAGTACCCTTCTAGTCCTGTCTCCCAACTCCACTGTTAATTGAAAGTTTTCAAGAATCAGCTTAAAATTGGCTGAATATGACCTGAATTTTTGTTCCCACTTATATACTTTCTAGGGTTTTCAGAAGGAGCTCTGGTGGCACAATGCCTTTCTTACCTTATTGTCATTGAACTCAAGAATCTTGGATAACATAGGTGTTGAAGAATGTATAAACTGAATTTTATCGTGAGCTAGTCCCTAAGATAGAACACATTTCTCAGTGTGTAACTGAACCCACTGGGGCAAACTCCTTCCCAAAACCTGAAATTTCTGGGGGCAAGCTATAATTCTGAGATTACTTGGGAAATGAAGTGAGTTGATTCCATAGAGAATGCTACCTGTACTGCACTTAAACTAAGGGCCAGTAAGCTGTGCCCAACACTCAGTCCATAGCAGCCCTCAGCCCTCCCATAGAACATGCTTATGAAACAATTTAAGCATCCAGTTACAGAAAAATAATCAATCAGCCACTCAAATTCCAAATCTCAACAATAAAAAGGCCCAGTGTAGAAATTACTAGTAATAAAATATGCAAGTGGCTCTACAAATCAGTTTGTTTTTGCTTTTTATTTTTAACTGTACACAAGACTTTAGGATGAAATGTGGCTTCACCTGCTGGTCTCAAACCACAAAAAAGGTGAGCATGCATTTGAAAGAATGGGAAGCAACTCAACTGAAACTATAGACTCATCTTTAGACAGGTGGAAGAAGAATGCAGATAGCCATCCAATAGCTACAGAAATGCAACCTGCCCATTTTTCCTCTCTGAGGCAACCATGCGGGGATACTTTCAGTAACAGAGGCATCCTGATCTGTATTTACAATACCTTGAAGAATTCAGCCCTTGCCTTCCATATTTGCTCTCTTTCTCCACTCTTTCCCATCTCAGAAAATATCACCTCCATCCAACCAGTTACTCATGCTAGAAAACGGGTGTTCATCTGCAAGCTTTCCACTCCCTGCTGTCCCTTATCCAATCCAGCACTAAATCCTAAAAACTCCACCTCCATCTCTACAACCACCATTACAGTCCAAGCCACCATTATTCCTTCCTTTATGAACCTGCTGCAGTAGCCTCCTAACTGAACTCATCACTCCAACACTCGTGACCTTCTGCGTCCCTCACACAGCCACCAAAAGAAAATAACAAACCCATTGCAGTCAAGTCGATTTCAACTCATGATGACCTTGTGTGTCAGAGTAGAGCTGCTCCACGGGATTCCTCGACTGTAATCTTTATGGAAGTGGATCATCAGGCTCTCTTACGTGGCACTGCTGGGTGGGTTTGAACTGCCAATCTTTAGGTTAGTTGTCTAGCATGACCTCAGTCATCTTTTTTTGAAAAATAAACTGAAACACATCACTTTGCTATTTGAAGCCCCTCAGCAGTTTCCCCTTGCTTATAACATAAAGACCAGATTTCTGGTCATGACCAACAAAACCTTGCATAAGTTAACCCCTTCATCTGCCACTCTCCCTCTTACTACATTTCAGTAACAGTGGCCTTCATTTCAGGTTCTGGTTTTACCCCAAGTTATTTTCTGCCCTAGGATCTTTGCACATGCCATTATCCATATCTGAAATGGGTGTTTCTTCTTTGCACCCCCATTCTTTTGATGCTTTAGTTCTCAGGTTCAGTGTCAGTGTCTCAGAAAAACATTGTCACCCCTAAAAATAGGTCCTCACATCCTTTATTTTCCTTTATGGCATTTATGAAATTTTGAAATTACATGTTTACTTGCAGGTTTATATGATTCATATCTAGCTCATGCATTAAACAATGAATGACATAAGAGCAAAGACTGTGTCTGTTCTGTTCACCATGGTACCCTAAGTAGTTCAAGGTAGGTGCTCAGGAATTTTATGTTTTTGAATGACTAAATTAGCCACCAGGGAAGCTTCTCATACACTAGTCTTCTTAAAGCTATTTTATGATCTTAATTATAATCATTTACTTTGAAAAAATATATAGCTCTTATAGACAAATAGTGACTTGGTTTTAGAGGCTGTGTGAAAAAACTCATTGCCGTTGAGTCAATTCCTACCCATAGTAATCGCATGTGTTACAGGGTAGAACTGTGCTCCACAGAGTATTCTTGGTTGCAATCTTAATGGTAGCATAGTGGCTAAAGTACTTAACTGCTAACCAGAAGGCTGGCAGTTCAAACCCACCAGCCACTCCTCGGAAGGAAGGTTGGGCAATCCTACTCCCGTAGTGATACTGCCTCGGAAACCCAAGGAGGGGTCACTATGAGTCAGGGCCGACTCGACGGCACATAAGAACAATAACAATCTTAATGGAAGCAGATCACCGGGCCTTTCTTCCATGGCACCACTAAGTAAGTTCAAACTACCAATTTTTAAGTTAATGGTCAATTGTAAACCATTTGCACCATTTATGGACTTCGGAGGCTATGTAGGACCCTCTTAAGAGGACAGTGGTTGTTCAGTGATAGAATTGTCACCTTCCATTCGGGAGACCAGGGTTTAATTCTTGGCCCATGCACCTCATGTGGAGCCACTATTTGTCTGTCAGTGGAGGCTGTGTGTTATCATGATGCTGAACAGGTTTCAGCAGAGCTTCCAGGCTAAGATGGACTAGGAAGAAAAGCCCAAAGGTCCACTTCCAAAAATCTGCCAGTGAAGACCCTGTGGCTCACAACAGTCACATCCACAACTGATCGTGGATGGAGCAGGACCAGGCAGCCTCTGGTTCCATTGTGTGGGGTTGCCACAAGCCAAGGGCCAACTCAATGGCAGATAACTACAACAACAACATCAGGATCCCTTTCAATTCCCAAGGCTTGTACTCAAAGAGAAATTCCTTTCAGGATGCAGTATGCCAGGGTGCATACTGTAACCACAAAGGCCATCCTCCCAAAGGGCCCTGTGGATTAAGTCAGTTTTATATTCCTCAGAATGGCAGCCAAGTGCTGAGGTCCACATTCTCTAATAGTCCAGGTTCTGGGTTCACCACAACAGGTGCTTGGGGCCTCCAGCTTTGACCTCAGTCACAGGATGAGAAGGTTATAAGGATGACGATGAAGCAGAGGGTGGTTGAAGACACCCAGCATCCACATTCAGAGGCTCAGAATGCTCTCATAACCGGTGATGTGCACAGACACCCTCTTCACAGGCTTGGCACTCACCCATCTTGGAGAAATGTGGACAGAGAAGGATCTTGGTTCCTTGGCTTGGACTCTGAAAACCCTGACCCTCTGTAGATTCTGACAAGCTCCACGCAGGAGAAGACAGAAGGTGGGCACAGCTAGAGCAGCTCTTTAACCAAGAGCCAACATGGTAAGACAGGAGGTAGCAGCTGCATGGGCCAGCAAACCCCAAGGGGCTGTGGTGTCCATCGAGTTTGGGGAGAAGGCTGGCCTTCTGTAGTTAAAGAACATCGAATACTGAGGTTGTGGAGTTACCCTGATGAACGGAGCATGAGGACTCCTATTTATCTTATCCACTGAGAGAATTACGGCGGATCAGGGCCTTTGTTCTCCCTCAGTCCTGCAGAAACCACACCACAGCAGACTTTCATGAGGAGCATGCAATCATCCTGTGGTCAGAATCAGAGGCCAGTTTAGAAAGACTGTACCCAGAGAAAAGAAACGAACTAGAAGAAAGGATGAAAGAAAACAAGGCAAGAAGGTAGCCAGTGAATGCCTGTGCTGAGTTTCTGGCATTGAAGGTGGAAAATGGCCTGTGAATTCCCAGTTGCTCTTTCCAGTCCTGCCAGGAAATGGTTTATGGATGAGGTGTTAAAGGGAGCGGGGACACCTCTAAAGATTAAGTTGATGGTCATTTTTTTGTTCCATCATCCCAGCCGCAGACATCAATTGGGATAGATCCCTATCTCCTAGGGGGTCCATTCTAGGCCCTTAGAGACTCAAATGATCTGTGTGGTTCCAGAAGGAACCCCAAGACATACTCAGAAATATGACTCAGCTTAAGAACCCCAGAATCACAGCAGATAATAAAAATATTCTCACTCACTCACTCACTGCCATTGAGTCGATTTTGACTCATAGCAACCCCTCCTTGGGTTTCCAAAGCAGTATCTCTACGGAAATAGATTGCCCAACCTTCCTTCCGGGGAGTGGCTGGTGGGTTTGGACCACCAGCCTTCTGGTTAGCAGTCAAATGCCTTAGGCACTACACCACCAGAGTTCCCAATAAAGATATTAATAAAAATAATAATAATAAAGCACTGCCATCAAGTTGATTCTGACTCATAGTGACTCCCGCTGGGTTTCTGAGGCAGTAAATCTTTATGGAAGTAGATTGCCCAGTCTTGCTTCCATGGTTAATAATAATAGCTAACACTTATAAGTGTGCATTGCATGCATGGGAGTCCCTGGGTGGGTGCAAACATTTAAAAAGCTCAGCTGCTAACTAAAAGGTTAGAGGTTCGAGTCCACCCAGAGCAACTCAGAAGAAAGGCCTAGAGATCTACTTCTGAAAAATGAGCTACTGAAAACCCTAGGGAGCTGGTTCTACTCTGAAACACAGGGGTCACCACGTGTCAGAATCGATCAGACGGCAACTAAGTTAACACTGTGTGTATAATGCCAAGCACTTTCTCATTTAGTCTTCTTAACAACCCCAGAAGATACACACCATTATTATCTCTACTTTACATTCTGAGAAACTAAGAGATAAGTCGTTTTTATAGCAGAGCCAATTGACATAACATTTCTGATTTTATCCACTCA